CACTAACCTTCCGAAGATGCTTCAGTATATGAAAATGATTAACAATAAAACAATTTTGCCTGTGCCGCTAAAACACTTTCACTCATATTTTCCAATAAAAGAAAATAAATATAATCATGCTACGCTTCAGATGAAACGCGAACTAACCTAAGATTCTAAAGTCAAAATCAATTAGTTTTTAAGGAAATCATTAATGCACGATTCTTTTAATTCAGATACCAGCTTGAAGTCAGCTATACGCCCGGTGAAACTGAAAATGAGCGCGACACTGCTTTTGATTTCATTCGGATCTACTTTACCAACTTTCTTCGCGTTTATTATTTCGATCAGAGATTGCACGATCTTTTTTCACTGTCGTGCAAAACCAACGCAGAACCGAAACCTAGCGAGAAATTGCTGTTTTCTAATTTAGACTTACAAGGTGCTCCTAAACACTGCAGTCTTTTCATCAATTGAATCGTTTAATCCAAGATGGGTCATATACGAAAAACGTACTCAATAATTGCATTGCTTGCTTCTATTAACAGCTACTCAATAGTTAGTTACACACATCCTACATCATATTACAACTAACCAGCTGCCGAAAAATATGACGAAGTTAATGGTTGGTCCTCAACTTCAATGGAATCTATTTTGCACGATACTTCACCACGTCAAAATGTGACAAATATCAGCTAGTTATCTAGTGGCATTTAAGATATCCATATCGACAAGTGAGAGACAACTGACGGATCCGTGAACGCCAAATCTGAAAACAGAGTCGTATTTGGTTGAGATCTATTCTGTTGCCTCACATTGTTATCAACAAGACCCATATATGCACTATAATAATCTTCTAGCATTTTACTATGTGTACTTTATATATTTCACTGTAACAAGTCCTAGTGAAAGTATGTTATGTATGTAAACAAATATCACTGTGTGGTGCAAATTGTTCTAAATACGGCCCTGAATTTCACCAAAATCATTATTACCAACACTATCCGCTTTTGTACAAAAATGTTACTTGCTGATCAGCTGTTCACTCCAATAGATGTCAAAACGTGATCAAGTATTGTGAAAAATATATTACATTGCCTAGGGATGTATGAAATAAGTGCCTAGCTTTCTTGTAATATGGTCAGAACACAGAGTATAATAAGTATAGAAAATGGCCAACAGATGGTAGCTTCATTATCTCTCTGCATATAGACCCTTTTTCGTATCTGCGCCATAAATGAATAATAACATTGTGGATTGATTCAAAATAGAAAAACAGTTTTCCCAATGTTTAATCTATCTATACACTTTATTTTCAAACTAGATTGTTTAACAAGGCGTGTTCACTGTGTATGTTTTCATCTTACTCTATTCCCCCTCTGAGTTCCAGTCGTTCCTAGAGATCAATATGACATCTAAAATTAACCAGACATCTCACCTAATTAATCTATTAATAGAATTCTACTACACAAATTTAAAAAAGATGATGGGCCAAGTTAAATATTTGGTGTGATTTTCTTAAGTCACCTTCTGACTAAAAATAAACCGTGAAAATTACAAAATCCATCTACAAGGAAGAAGAATAGACGATTGGCATTCAACATGTCTGCAGTTGTTATAAGAATCTTGCAAAAGCACCTCAGTCCTTTTTTCACGAGCGCATGTATTGATATAATAATCTGACAAGGATAAAGTATGACAAAAGATTGAGAATACCATGAGAAGAATTTAAGAACATTTCAATCATTAATGATTTCAGGAATATTGAAAATTCATATTATGGTTGCTGTCACATAATATTTATGCAACACTCTAACAAACAAAAACCCATTTGTTATAATGGCAGAACTATATCTGTAGTGACATAACATACAATTATCTGAACAATTACCATACATTTCTATCATATATCATGATTGTGAACTAATGAATCTAGGAACTCCTTAATCACATTTCTTCAGATACAGTCATCAAGATTAAATATGTACATGTTTTACAAAATAACAGTATTCAAAGTGAAGGATCTGCATCAATTTGATGTTGAATAAACTATGTATGCCAACTTTTGTAATCTTGACATGTTAATACTGCTAGCCTGAAATTCTGAAATATTTACACATGCAATCAACATGTGTCTTGAGACTCGAACTCTCCATGGTGCTTAATAGGAAGCAATAATTCCTTTTGCCAAAATGAAAAATCCGACTGACCTCAATCATTTGCGACCTGTTAATATGTTGTTTTTACCAGACTGCCTCAGGAGGGTTATCAAATTCGAAAATTTTCTGTTGATATTACGAAAAAAACATAAGAATTGTCAACAAAACTTCAAGCTAGGGACAAAATAACAGTAAAATGAATTAAAAACATAAAATGTTTTTCACGCGTGGGTATGTGTGTATCCGAAAAATTCTATTTCACAGGATACAGACCAAATGACTTGATATATTTCACATATGAGGAGTCACTGTATTAATTTTAGCAGTGCAAGGGATACCACTTATATTGAAATTTAATAAAAACAAAGTGGCAGATTTTGAAAAAAAAATCAATCTTGAAATTCCTACTACACAGGCATAGCTTAAACAGCTTGATTTGGATTTGGATTTCAACTTATTTTGTTGGATTTGTCTTATCAGTGTCAATCTGAGCAGTGACACTGACTATATTAAAATTTTATAAAAACAAAATGACGCGTTTTGATACATAGGTTCAACCTTGAAATTCTTATTTATCAATTTACATCTTAAATAACTTGGTGGATTTTGATATAGGTATCTCTAGATTTCTCTTGATAGCACAATTAAATCTTCATTCTTTTCAGCTACTATAGTTGGATTGCTTGCATTTTGTTTTTGAAGGTCTTAGACAGAGTGGTATAAATACAACTGATAGAATATCTGAAGCAAAATAATTTATTTCCTACTCCTCAATCTGAATTTCGTGCAAGACAAAGCACTACTTCAGCTTCAGTCTATTTGACTGACAACATTATTAGGTACTCAGATAGACATATAATTACTACTTAGTGATGAATCATTTTCCAAAAGCATTCAATACAGTTATCTATAAAATAATGTTGAGCAAGCTGAGTTACATTGGTATTTCAAATATTTCTCTACAGTTTTTCTAACCCTATTTGCATAACACAAAATAGGCAGTTAAGACAGCTGGAGGTTTCTCATCTACTAGAGTAATTTCATCTGTGGTTCCTCAGGGGTCAGTTCTGGGACCTCTGCTGTTTTTCATAAATACAATTGATCTGCACTCATGCACAGAATTTTGTTAGATACACACATATGCCAATGATAAGCAACTAACATATAACTATAATTTATCTCAGTTAAATGAAGTAAATAGTCTTCTAAATGATAATGCTATTTCAAAAGGCACTGTCTCCGGATCAATCCTAAAGATAGTTCAGGTATGCTTTTTTGACGGAAACATGCACCGCCTTAGAGACCCTTGTTCTTTTCATGATCCATAAACATATTCCCTTAGTGAAACACTCAAAAACCATAGATTATTTTATACTTTAAGCAGATAAATGTATCAGTCACATAACAATGCCAATTGAAGTTTCTTTATTTCAATAGAATCATCTTGTTCTTTAGGAACAGAAAACTGTTATACTTGAAAGTTTGATGCTATTGTTTCTGCTCTATTTATATTCCTTACTTAGATTTGTCAAATCAGTATAGTGTCAAATGAGTATATACCCTATTTCACAAGTATCCATCACGGTATAATGACAGTTGATTATCTAGTAATATCTCAAAATTCCCCATATGGACACAGAACACATAATACTGATGGATCTGGCATTGCCAGATAGACAGAGCCATTTTTTGTTTTGTTTTTTTTTGTATGCTACAGATTCATTTTGAACTTGCTAAAAGCTCTTTCATTTAGAAAAGTTCATTTGCATATGAAGTACAAAACGCTACAAACAAGTTTTACTTGATTTACACCTGAGTCATTATTACCAATATTACAGAATAACACAAAAATCTCACTTGCTGATTAGCTGTTCACCTCAGTAGACATCAAAGCCTGATGGATACATGTGAAATAGATATAGTGGTACCCACACAAGAACCATTATACCTATTTGAGGGAACTTGTATCAGGAGGTGACATTAAGGTTAATCGAAGATTGCTCAACAATAATCAAAATTAGTTGAAGCCAATTCTTGACTCTACCCTATTTCAAAGAAGTTTTACTTTCCATACAATTAGGTTAGATTGTACAATTCTGCCAACTGGATTTCTCACAATGAAAATAAATCTTATAAAAACCTAATTAAAAAGATCTGATGGAATTGCTTCAGAAATTGCATTGTATTTCTTGTATAGATCTTACTTAATATTATCTGGACAGTTAGTATGCAATAATTAGTCCAGTGGTTGCAGAGAAAAAGAACAAAATAAAAAATTGCGGCCTTTGTTTTTGACATTTCAGAGAATCCTGATTACTTTCAGAGAAATTTTTGCAGGGATGAAAAATTAGATGGATGTATTTATACATTTACAACCCTAATAGACACCTATTAGATATATTTCATACATAATACTCTTCCCCATACATTCGTCCTCAAAACTTGTATAATTGATGTATATTTTTGATATAATACCTATGCATGCCAGATCAATCACTATGCTTCATTAAGGTTTGCACTTAAATCTAACTTATAATCATTAAAATTTTGATTAGTTGTGAAATGATTTCAGTGATTGGAAAGGAAAAATGTTTCACCACACTATCAAGAATATTAGTCTACAAAAGAGGCAAAAAAATAGTAGATAAGTAGGCCATCTACTATTTTAGAACAAAATCAAACAAAAAATGTTAGTGTGTCTGTAACCTATAACAGCAATAAAATGCAATAATATGGCCTTATCTTCTAACTTTATGAGGGTATCATCTTTACCTTATGATACAAACAGTTACCAATTTCCTGTTGTCACAAATAAATCAATACTAGCAAAATCACGCCCTCCTTTACTAAAATTAAACTCACCTTTTTGCCATCCATTGAATATACGTTTCTTACTCCACTAGGAAGGGTTACATTTTTTGTCATGATGTTTGTTAACTCTGCAGTGAGGCTATCAAAAGACCTGTACCTCTCTGGGGCCACTGGTATCACAATTCCGTTAAAGAACTTATTGCCATTGTGGTAAAATCTGATCCTTTTAGCTTTCTGCGTTTTGGAGGTAGAGGAGGGCCTGTTGTGGTTTTTGTTGTTGGTGAGGCTGAGGTCCTCGAGCCCTGCCTCGATAATCTCCCCATCTGACATGAAACTGTTAAAACTGTTTGAGGAGACGCTTCTAGAACCATTCAGGTTGTTTTTCGACATCTTCGTCTTGCGTTATCACAACAGCATTCTGCCAGAACGGAGTCCCTGGGTGTCTGTCTTCATCGGAGGTACCGCCTATTAGTCATACAGCTGTCATTTAAAATGCAGATAAGTAAGGCTGAATTGGTTGGGCACTTTGGTTTCACTGCGAAAAGTCTCGACGACGGGAACTAATAGACCGGTAACCAAACCGCAGCAAAAAAACTGAAATATTTTAAAATTAACTGTTTATCTCAGTAAAAAAAGCTAATAACCTCTTTTACGATTTGTGAAATGAAAATGACTTCGTTCCGCCAGGGTTGCCAGCCTCATGCCTGTCGCCAGTGTCGCCAGTGAAATATTTGTATGCCCCGCCATCTACTGAATAAGACTTAACCACTGAACAGGAAATTGACGCGTAGGTATGTACACCTGGAATGGTGGTATGCATATACAATTCCGGCTAAGAGATGGCAATACCGCTTGAACCAATCAAGTCGTGGATGGGGATGGGAAAGAAATCTATTTTCGGACGCCGTTGACTCTTTTAGCATGTGGTCACAATGGTCTAGTAGACGATTCTTAAAACTCGGCTAGGATCCAATCTTGTAATGTTCAGGTCATTTCGTTAAGAAATCCATGAACAAGAGGTCAGCCGTCTACCTTTCATTGGTTAATGCTATTCATGTCAATTCGGTTGAATAACTGCATTCCAGGAACATTTTGTGCATAAGAGACAATGTTAAAGATTTTAGTACTGGATAGAGTTTGTATCTAAAATTGACTCGAACTTATAGGGAACTTTTATATGGACGACCTTCAGAGAGTTCACTGCTCATGCAGGCGTCAGGCCCGCCCATCTAACTCCCAATTAAAGAGAATGGGTATTTTAGTACACACACCAATAATAGCATTTAGTGATATGCTCGTTAAGTCTTTTCGAACTGAAAAACATTCTGAGAGGTGAAAAGCGCAAATTTGATGTACGTTTTGAGATAAGTATAGATATATACTGTAGAGGATATTAATTTTGTATTCTATACTGGTGCCTATGTTGGGAATGTATTACATAAGGTATATGATGATATTAGGTATACAGAATACCAATGTAATCATTTTGTTGAAGCATGTAGGATGAAATTATACCAGAGATTAGTATCCAGCGTTGATACAATTATTTTTTTAAACCGTTTTATATTCAGCAAGATCTTTGCATTTACGCTCTTGCACTTGGAAAACGGTGTCATTGTTTTTGTCTGCAAAACACAATTGCATCCGATCTCTTTTTTTGCAGTTGTAAGAAAGGAACGCAGAACAAGCGTAGATCACTCTTCCTCTACCCCGCGGCGCTTACGCATGGGATTCTCAGCCACCCACACCACATATAGGTGGTACCTCATCGTGTTATGAGCAGCAACTACCTGAGGTTGGCTATATCCAAAGATAAGCAAAAGCGTCCATCCTTAACACTAGACCCTATCATGAGCTCCCGTGCCTGCCAGAGATGTCTAGAGATGCTTCTCAAATTCTGAGAGTGTTCACTAGCAATCCACTTCTCCATTTTCCTCCTGAACACTTTGCGCGCGCACCCCTGGGGTTGGCTCACGACCTGCTCACGACCAACAAGCTTGCTCCCTGATTCTACTTTTGAAAGACCGTCTGCCATATCATTGCCATTTATTCCAGTGTGCTACGGTACCCACACTAACGATACCGGATGCCTTGCTGCTAGATTATCCACAGAGCCTCCCTACATTGCAATACAAGGCTCGAAGTAATTTTGCAGGCACTTAGGGCCGAACGTCAGTCGTTCCTACAATTGTAGATTGTAGGACACCTTTATGTCCTGCTTAATTGTCATAGTCTTTTCTCTGCTTCAAAAATATCTAGCTGGCACCTGTTCCGTGTGAGCGTCGGCAGACATCATGTAAAACAAAAGCATGAACAGTTTGATGCAAATAGATATTTGCGACCTCAAAATAGAGCGCTGACACGGAAAACTAGAAAACTATGAAAATCAAGGAGGTCATAAAGAGGTCCTACAATTGTAGGAACGACAGACGATACGTCCCTTAGTGCCTTTCATCGCAGCCTCGCTATCGAAAAAGGTTGTTATTCCTCTCCTAGGACCAGTGTTGAGCCAAAAGTCCCCGGCGCCAGAGCTCTTTCAGGAACCGAGTCGTCTGTGCACCAGACCCTGCCCTCGTCGGAATCATGTGGTACTTATTAATAGGTGCGCTAGAGATTAGCGGACAGACAGATCGACAGGCACACCGACAGAAATAAGTGTCATAATTTTTCCTGACATACATGTGATATAACATTCAAAAAGCATTTTTCGCGTTTACGTTACTTCTTTGGCAACTCTGTCACCTGAACACGGTAGACTATAAGCACAGCCATAAGTATATAATGACCATAATAAGCATAAGTGGTTGGCGGCGCTTCGGCACGGGTATCACGTATCTTGAAAAGTGACATTATGCCGATTTTTTTTGACATTACACTGTTTTTTTTTTGAAATTATGTGGCTTTTTCTACAAGATGTTAACTTAGCACTTAGTTGTACGTGTTTCCTAACCGTTATGGGGCTTGTTATCAATATTTGGCTCTGATGGTCTGATGTGATGTGAAATCTGCATCTGAGATGGCATTACAGGAAGTCTAAGCTGTAAGTTGCATGTGTTGATGATAATTACATTGCGTTCTTGTCTCAATTAAACTTAATTGAGATTCAAAGCTAGAAATTAGTTGCGCATCCACTTTTTCTTATCCCGTAATTCTCTTCAGTTTTGCGTAATTTATAACTCTGAACATAACCTCTCTTCAGAAAGCACAACATATAAATAACCCGTCATATTCAGTAATGATTTTCTCACACAGCAAATATCACTGATTTTATACACATGCAGACCAATACACATTATCATCCAGATGCGATCTTGCTATTCAACCAACATTCTTCTCAGAGATAAAAACTACAGACACGGATCACTCAGCCTCACAAAACTATGCAAACAATACTGCGTGTAGGTTAGTCGAGTGATTCCTCCATAGATGGACGTTCACAACGATCCTAGTGAGCAAACGTGGAATGAAAAACTGCCTAGTCTGCAAGTTGTCATCTTATAGGTTTTTTTACGTTTTATAGGTTTTTTACATGTTACCCGTGCGGTACGTTATCCCGCTTTGACGCAGATACGTCTTTCCTGGAATATAACGTTAAATCAATGATTTCAGTCTCTACGTACTGGACTATTATGAATCACTTGCCAGTGAATCAATTTTTGTAATGTTCATTAATGGTCTTTAGCTGACAACTGACGCTGACTGACAGGGATGTCAAATCTGCTGACAGCTGACTGTGACTGATCAAAAGCATGGAAGTTGAATTATAATAGCCAGTAAAAGAAATCATTTTAGAAATAGATATTAATTTGTAAATTCAATTTTAGCATAGTTTAAACTAGTGTTTAGTCTTTCTGAATATTGGACGTGGTACCGCATGTATTACAGCGTGTGATAGATAGGCCACAAGTAGACTGAAAGTTCATGACACATAACAAGCTTGTTGAGGTTATTTTATATTTTGTTAACCATCCACATAGAAAAATTATGACTTGATTAACATCAGAACCTGCACACGCATAGAAGCAGGCACACACGTCTAGGATTTCTCTGAACAATATTTGTATTCAAATTCTTAGTAATATGCAAATGCTTAAAGTAGAGACTTGGAGGGATCCCTCTCCCATCAAGCTAATAATTTCCCAGAAGGAAGATGCTATTGAAAGTACTATAAATAACTGTGATCCATGATAGACCACAGAGTTGCAGTAGAACATTACATATTTTTAAGTGTAACATACTGTACTCACTTGGTTGCAACTTCAATATACAGATATAATGCTTTAGCAGTTAATATTGTTTACTATTTTCTTGCATAGAAATCTAAAGCTGACTATTTTTTTTCAGTCAGTAATGGAGCTGCACACTAAGCAGCGACAGTTCAGTGGACAGCTGTATAAGTATACAAATGTCATGAAAGGCTGGCAGTATAGATACTTTTTGGTGGATGCAAATGCAGGCTTGCTGCATTATTATCTTTGTGAGGGAGAAAAGCCTGATGGAAGTGTACCAAGAGGTTCAGTGCATTTAGCAGGTAAATGGTTAAATAGTATTATAATTTTCTTCATGATGCCCTGTACTGATTACTCTGCTGAGCAAACTTATACTGATGCTGGCTGCTATATCAAATTTTAAATTTCTTAGAGAATAGGTGACAAGTGCCACTGTTAAATAATGTGCTTATTCAATGACAGTACAGTGTTAAAGCTGCTGAACAATGACAGATGATGCTAGTCATATCTGCTCTATGCAATTGCCATAATTACTAATATAGCTGCTGAGAAAACATATGGGAGAAATGTAATGAATCAAAATCCTTGAAACTGTTTTAGCTCTAGTTGTTTTGATGTAGGTATTTGAACATACAGCTGGTAGTAGCCCATTTATGCATGCCACTTCGGTTGCTCAACAAGTTCAGCCAACTATTTGCAACAATGAAGTTGTCTGACTCAAGTCAGTACTTAATACTTAACACCTAAGTTCTAAGTATTTAACACTGAGTACTTGGTTTGTGCCATGTACTCTGCATACTTAGTTCATTTTGTTGAATACCTGGTTGTGCTAAGTACTTAATTGCTCGTTCAGGTAACTACTCAGTCTGAAACCCAAGATAATCAAATGTATAAATGAAAGATGTGATGTGAAAAATCTCATCATATATGAAGTTTTCCACACCTCCCTGATAAGTTTTCCAAAAAATAAATACACCATCGAAAGATAGTCAAGTTATGTTTTTAAATAAAATATTGCTTGAATTGGGCCATTCCTTATTAAATGTAGACTCTTCCAGTATGCTGGTGTATTTGTGCAGCTTATTTTTTATATAAAACTCCTTGCTTTTTTGTATATCCATGGATCAGCTACCTTATAGCTGTTTAAACCACATTGAAGCCTTCTATATCCTCTATGAACATTAAAAAAATAATAGAAACCACTAACCAATATGAATCAAAACTGATTCAAAAAGTAAGGTGAATTACATGCTTTCTGTGTTTATACAGAACATTTGAAATTTGTGCAGCATGAAGGCTAAGATTGCCTACCTTCAACAAAGATGTAGGTTCAAATAGTTCCATATATACCCATCAAATGTAAGGCCCATTCATATCTGAAAGTTTTGTTCTATAAGTTCATATTTATCCTGAAACTTACCTTTCAATCATGTTGATTTGCCTTAAAAATCTGTTTGTTTTGGCATAAGAAAAATAGAAGAGTATCACAAACAAAATGTTTCCAAAGTCAAATTATGGTTATTTTCAAGTCAGTATTGCAGCTGCAGATTAAAAGAGTTGCTTAAACTTTATGTAGATAATAAAACACTACAGAACAAGTTTTACTAGATTTACACCCGATTTATTTTTGCCATTGATACAGACTAATACAAAGTTGTCACTTGCTGATCAGCTGTTCGCCTCAGCAGACGTCAAAACGTGATGGGTACTTGTGAAATAGGATTTACTGCAATGCACTAACCATTTCACTTACAAAAAAGACATCCATCCTCAATAGTCTTTTTTGTGGTACATTGATTTTGTAGATGATTTTTTTGAAAGGGGTTTAAAGAAACCTTTCTTTTTTTTTTTGGCACTAGGACATTGCGTCCCATTAGCCAGATCCAAACTTGTATATGTCTAATTATGGACAAAGACACGACGTCACAACATCCATGGCGAAGGCGAGATTCGAACTTGCGGCCCGGCCGGCCGGCTGATCAGTAGCACGACACTCTGACCCACGCGGCCAACCGAAATGTAACCTTTATATTACTCATAGTAACTGAAATGAAGTCGGCGCCAATCACTTCACCGAGTACTCATTGTTCGAATCTGTGCGAGTACACGGTACTTGGCCTTTTTTACAAATAGTACTTTGTGCATCTTTAGTATGTACTATTCCCCTACAATATAATGTTACAGGTGCTGTCATATGCCCAAGTGAAGAGGATAGTAAAACATTTACAGTAAATTGTGCTTCTGGTGACATGTTGAAGCTAAGAGCTACAGATGCTAGAGCTAGACAAGAATGGGTCAATGGATTGAGGGCAGTTGCAGAATCTCATACTAAGGTGGGTTCTTGCGGAATTTACTGTTTTTCAATAAAAATATGTTTCAGTGTAACTTATTTCTGAATTTAAAATGTTTAGTAAAAGGTGCAAGTGGGTCAGTTGCCTCTTCGCCCTGTTGAAAGGGTCCCACATGCCATGGCTGCTCCCCACTCTTTGTGATGAGTCAGCTGCTGGATAGTTTCCACCTCAACGGGATCTGAGCTCAGGAAAAACTTGTGTTTTGAGGATTATGATGTTTCAAACATTCCCACTCTTCAATCATCAGCTCCAATAAGCTTCATATTGGATATTTTTGAATATGGCCTACAGTTCTTAAGGTCAATTCTTTGTAATTTTGCATTTAATATGATATATACTAAGTGACATATAAATCCGAACACCCAGTTTAAATGGTTTTATTTTAATAAAAGTTGGTGAATGTATTTATCTTACTGTAAATAACAAGTGAAAAAATTTTCAGCCTTATCAGTTGGACATTCCGGTTTTTATACTGCTTTTTTTTTAATTCACTAACGCTCTAAAAATGAATATTTCAGCCGCAGTAAAGAATCAACGTTGGCGGATTTTGGTTCTTGACATCCTTTACGATCGGTTACGATGCCTAGAGTACGGAGACCTGTACGATTTCGTCAACTTAGTGAGTTTGATAGGGGCCGTATAGTGGGACTTCGGGAAGCTGGACTTTCTTTTCGGGCAATTGCAGTTAGAGTGCAAAGAAGTGTAGACACTGTGGTTAGGTGTTGTCAGGCATGGCTTCGAGAAGGCCGTACGCAAAGAGCAAGGGGCACTGGACGCCGCCGTAGAACAACAGACCGTGAAGATCGCCGCCTAAGGTTATTGACCTTAAGGGACCGTTTCTCCACTACCAGGTCCATTGCAAATGAATGGTTTGCAGAACACGGAAGACCTATTGGCATGCGAAGTGTTTACCGACGAATGAGAAGTTTTGGCTTGTTTTCTTACCGGCCACACTGGGTCCTCCCTTTAACTCGAGAACACCGACGTAATCGCCTTGAGTGGTGCAGACAGCGGTCACTCTGGGATCAGGAATGGAACAGTATTGTCTTTAGTGACGAGTCTCGATTTTGTTTAGGCATGCACGATGGTCGTGCCAGGGTTAGAAGGCGACGTGGTGAAAGGAGGAATCCACAGTTTTTTGTTGAAAGACATGTTCATCACACTGTTGGAGTTATGGTTTGGGGTGCTGTAGCTTATGGTTCCACGTCACCTTTAATCTTCATCAGAGGTAACATGAACGTGCAGCGTTATATCCACGAAGTTCTAGAACCCCATCTTTTACCCTATCTTGACACCCTGGCAGATCCAATTTTCCAACAAGATAATGCCCGACCACATGTTGCAAGAGTCACAATAGACTTCTTTCAACATAATGATGTCACATTGGTAACAATGTTACCATGGCCACCAAGATCTCCCGACTTGTCCCCAATTGAGCACGTGTGGGATATGATGGGTAGGATATTGCTCAATTTGCAACGTCCTCCTCAGACTCTAGAAGCACTTCGAGAGGAGTTGGTGGTTGCCTGGAATGAGATACCACAGGAGGACATTGACCACCTGATCAGAAGCATGCCTAGGCGCGTTGGAGAATGCGTAGCACATCAGGGTGCATCCACACATTACTAAAGGTCAAAGGGCTTTAAAGCAGTGCAATCATTTTGAAATTTGTATCATTTACTTATTATGCTTCATTAAGTACTTATACAAAATTTTATTAAAATAAAACCATTTAAACTGGGTGTTCGGATTTATATGTCACTTAGTATATTTCTAAAGGTAAAAAGGTGGAGCACAGATAATAATTTCCATAAAAAAGGGATGATACTAACATACAAACATGTAGATTTGATTATTCTTACTGGTTTCCCCTGACGAACGATGTCCATGATGGAATATTTTCACTCTGAAAAACTTGTGTTTTTAATAGCTGAAATAGATTGTTTCCATTCATGTTTCAAGGATGATACTGATTACTTGCGTTTTTTCGAACAATGTAGGAAAGAGATCTTACTGCCATTTAGATGAACCTTAATCCTTTTTTTGAAACCAATGTGTTGCTCACTGAAAGAATTGGCCAAAGGTATTGATTTTTATCTTGGATCAAATAAAATCCATATATACTCATATCTCTAATCTCCCATGCTTGTCTGGCCAATAAATCCACATGTATTGATAGAACTATCTTTACTGTAAATGTACAATGTACAATATACAGGGTGTTCCAGAAGTCGTCGTCGAGCCGGAAATGGGGAAAGGCCAAGTTATTATAGTTATCAGAAGTATATAAAAAAAGCTAGGCTTTATCGTGAGAGATACCCAAATGGTGCACGTCATCCCGATCACCTAGTTTTTGAGAATGTGCACCGTTTACTCTCAGAGGGGCGATTCCCAAATCAAGCACATGGCGAAGGAAGAATTTCCTTTCCTTACGAGGACGTTATACTACGAGCAGTCGAAGAAGACCCGAGTACTTCCATACATCAAATAGAAGCAAGAACGTGAGTGCCCAAAAGTACAGCCCACCCAATCTTGCGAAAGAATCAGCTCCACCTGTCCCATATTCAGCGAGTACAATCGCTACAACCCCGGGATTATCTTTTGTCAAATGGTACAGAGACACCGGGAAGATCCGCGATTTTTAGAGAAAATTTTAAAGATTGTTGAGTCGACATTTAGAAAAGATGGTTACATGAATCTACACAATTTACACTAGTGGCATGTAAAAAATCCATATTTGATGAGACAAGATAGATCACAGTATCGTTTTAAAGTAAACATGTGGACCGGAATGCTAAATGGGAGAATCATTGTACCCTTTGAGCTGCTAGTTTTTGAATGGCGAAATTCATTTATGCTTTTTACACGATCATCTACCAAATTTATTGGAACACGTGCCACTAAGCATCTACACAGACATGTGGTACCAGCAAGACTTGGTCAGCCCGTTTCTCTTGACCTAAATCCACTCGATCTTTTTTACTGGGGAGCGCTGAAAGAAAAAAATTACTCGAAGCTACGGGACAGAATAACGGAAGCAGCAGAATTTGTTAATAATGGAAGATTCGTCTGCCTGATAACCCGATCATTTTTAACAAGATGTCAAGCTTACATTGCTGCTGAACGAAGGCAGTTTGAACACCTATTGTGAATTCAATAAATACATTCACGAATTAATAAAAGTGGCGTTACTATTTGTCGTGAAAAGTACACGCCTTAGATTTTTTATATTGTTTTAATTTCTATTATGACTTGACCTATCTCCCATTTGCGGGTTCACAGGATACGTTTCAGATGTTAACTCGTGTCTCTGGTTCAATGCTTTCTGTTTTTCAGGCAATGTCATCAGCAGGTCCAGGGTCTCTTCCAGCTCGTGAACACTTGGCTGTTTTAGACGCACTCAGTTGCCTGAGAGCCCAACTGCATCAGACAGAACAAGCAGATTCGGCATTATGTAGAGCGATTGAAACAGCAGGTTCCAAATATCATATTGACAGGGAGTTGTTGCTTCTCAAAGCTACCTCAGCAGCAGCGTTGCATTGCTTAACACAATGCGCAGGTATGTATCAAATAAAACGGAATAAAACAAACTGTGTGACAGTATATGTAGCCCGGGGGTATAGTGGTTTGTTAACTGTTGTTCCAAGAGATTTTTTCTCTTGGCTATGGATGTTGTTAATTGTCCGTCCGATCACTACAGTGGGGTCAGAATGTGTGCTTGTCACTTGTATACGTGTTTCCCCTCCAGAGTCCGTATGCCGTCTTCCTTTTACTTTTGTATCTCCCTATAGCCCCCCGGTAGCTACGGATATTTGATCTCCATGGAGGCGCATAAAAAATGGCGTCAAGTACGTTGACTTTGCACTTACCACGCAACGTTATCATCAGTTCATAAACGATTATGTACGGCACAAGTTAGTCCCTCTGAACTAGCTACCGATGTGTATAACAGGAAAATAAAATGGAATAAGTCAGCCAAACAGGCCTATACAATTAGTCCATACTCCATAATCCCCACCCCCTTCATAACGCTAAGTTTCTTCCCTGTTCTACATCGACTGCATTTCGGAGATTTCTGCCAATATGCAGAATGTTTGTTCTTCTGAACAATTTCTTCAATTTCTGAGCCTACTAGTTTGCCATTTGTCAGTCGGCTGAAACGCTTTTTGTGCCTTGGTCGCAAAAAATGTGTGAAATTAAGTTTTTTCTATACTATTTGTATTATTAATTGGAAAAGCAAAAGCCTTCATTGTCTCTTTAGTTTAGTTAGGTCATCAGAAAGTACGTTCAGATGTCCTCCAACTTGGTCTGATTCAGATGGTCTTCAGAACGCAATTTTTAATGCACAGCCATCGAAATACTAGTTTCCATTGTTTCACGTGATTTCTGCTATCCCCGTTTTCAAAGTTGAGTCATTTTAACAACTTGTAGAACTCGTCAAAAGAAATATTAGTTTAAAAGAATAAAAAAAGACACGCTTCTATCTATTCTCGAACTAAAAAGTAAAAATAATTTTTAATTATAAAGAGTTTATATTACAGTAGTAGATGGTCGAACAACCAATCATAATTAATGACCTCAAAATAAAATTATAATAAAATTTAAATTATTGACAGAGTAATTTAATTCAGAGTAAAAGAAAGATCTACTTTCACAGCTCCCCGTCGGCAATTTTGAAACATAGTCACCCCTCACTCCATGTAAATGTTTGATACACGCGCCCAGGCGAAATTCTCAACTGTTATTATTACGTTAAACTATAGTATTCATGCCCAATTTTATCGTCCCGAATTTCAGTTTGATACATTTTCGTCCCTTTTGTAATCATCCTTTGATATTATTGTTTTTCTGCAGGTGTACTACAACGGGGTCAGCATGCTACAGCACACCATGCCAAAACTGGTTTAGTCATTGATGATGATTAAGATGAATATTCAGTATGAGGCTACTATTTTTTTCTTTGATACAGAGCGACAGAGTTGGTATTGTGAATGTCGAACTCAGTTATATGAGTTTTAAGATAAAGAATTTATTATAGACTTGGAATTACTATAGTCTTCAAGACTCTACTTTCTGTAAGTAGTTAGATGATCGATACGTCCATCGCAGTATTTGTGAAATTAATAGGACTTATTTATAGATATCCATTATGCTCATACTATAATGAATTCAGCGCTTGGATGCAAAGAGGTTTTATCAAGCCATTTTTATTAGTTTAAATATCAAGAAAAATTTTGTGTGTGTATATGTGAGCCAACAAAAATACTTTACTCGAGACAGATTTATTGACAATGTTCATTCATATTTCTCTGCATTGTTCACTGATATTACGCGGCTGTCGCGAGCTATGTATAACAATTTCTCTGGGCAATGCATTTTTACTTTTGGTGTTACATTTTATTCGTAAAGTCTGCAAGAGATTGATACACTTTTGAGACTAGTCTTGCGCTTGTATGCAATGCAGCCATAAGTTTCAAAATTAATTTACAATTTGATTTTTAAAAAGGCTGCTGTGAGAACCGAAGCAACACTAAAATCCCAATTTATTTATCTCTTGCTTAGTTTATTGGCCACATTCAATGATATTGGCTTATAAACTTTTCTGTGATAGGCTAATATTAGCTAACTTTTTCAAGCATAATTTAAGGGAAAATAAAAATACTAGTCTAATCATATTAGCAAATTTCCCCGAAATAATTAAAGTCTGGCTTTATTCGTGCAAGTTCTTCAAGCGGGTTTTTAGAACATGGACACATAAAATGGGTACACGAATTTTTGTGGGAAAACTTTTTATTCGATAACAAACGATGAGAAAACGTGCTTTTTGGGATTCAATCGAAAGTGTTGAAGATTTTTAGTTATTTATGAGACCTACAAAATGAGACTACACGTAAAAAGATCCGACTAATATCAAAACTGTTATGACCGAAAAGCGAAGCAAAATGCAGGTTTTGGCATTTGTTGGTAATGCGACGATAATCTCACGCATCTTTTTGACATTCCTCAAATCCGTAGTATTCATACCTCTAAATAACAACAACATTGGAGTATACTGGGCAAGTAGTTTTTGAGAATTTCTAATTGTTTATCCCAAAACACCTGTTTTCCGGACATCACTACTAGTACATTGAGCAATGTACAGGGTTCGTTCAAAGAGTATTTAATAGGAAAATTCACGTGTTTACCTTGCCGATATGAATCACAAACCATTCCGAAAGATAAATGTTATTTTTATACGAAAAACAAAGCTCATGTTTTTTCTTCTAAACAAATTCAAACATTTTGTATTTGTGAGTAATTGAACAAATGCGCATGCACATTTTAAAACAAAGCGGATGTGACTATCATCTTTTGTTGAGAATTACTCACAAAATCCGAAGAAAAAACAAACCATTCTTTTTTGCATAAAAATATCATTTATCTTCCGGAATGGTTTGCGATTCATATCGGCAAGGTAAACTAGTGTATTTTGCTTCAATATGCCCTTTGAGCTCAATAAGTTAGTAGTGATGGCAGAAAAACAGGTGTTTTGGGATAAACAATTAGAAATTCTCAAAAACTACTTTACCATTCTACTCCAATTTTGTTGTGGTTACTTAAAAGTATGAATCCTACGAATTCGAAGAATTTCAAGTATCTACGAGAATCCATCGTCCCATTACCAACAAGTGCCAAAACCTGCAGTTTGCCTTGGTTTTCGGCCATAACTTTTTTGCTATTAGTTGGATCTTTTTACATGTAGTCTCATTTTGTAGGTCTCATAAATACCTAAAAATCTTATATGAAGAGTCTTTTCGTTTCTGCCAACACTTTCGATTGAATCCCAAAAAATACGTTTTCTCATTCTTCGTTGTCGAATAAAAAGTTTTACCACAAAAATTGGTGTACCCATTTTATGCGTCCATGTTTTGAACAACTTGCAGAAATAAAACTAGACTTTACAAGTATTTGGCAAACCAGAGGTATTTTCGTCTAATATGATTAGACTATACTGAAAAAAAAGTTTTTGAACAAAATCTTTTTGAACTATCTTCAAAACATACAAATTACTTAAATTATAACTTAAACTTGAAACAGCCATATTTTTGGGCGAAAAAGCCTCTATTATAGTGGATAGTTAGATTTGTTGAAATATCTAGTATTTTACTTTGACCTAATGTATACTACAGTAATTTATACATAGCGTGATGATGTTAAGATTTGATTCTGCATGATGGAATTATAACGTATTTCGTTTTTAAAACAGCTAGGCTTTTTAGCAATACACAGATATGGATAAATTTAGGATATAAAAAAGATGTAACTTCATTCCCAAGTATTTATCAAATATATATTATGTTACGTTCTAAACTTGTATGATTTGTGTTGATCAGCACTACCGAGATGTATTTAACACTTTCAATGCTTATACATTGTTGACAAACTTCACGGACGGACGGTGCATTTGTTGGGAAATAATACCGTTAAAATATTGCTAGTATGTCTTCTATATAATTAAAATACAATAAACTCCTCCCCTCAGGTATCTTTTTTGTCTGTGACGCACTGGTGCGTCATGCGCACCCTTCACCCAACTTTGGTCCGTGAGCGCATGACGCACTGGCGTGTTCTAAAATATTCTATTGATATATTGGAAAACGCACCGGTGTGTCACGCGTTCTGAATGTGTTAAAGCTAATAATGAAGCTCAAATGTTCCATTTATTCATCATTTGAACCCAGGGGCATAATCGGTTCTAATGGATTGCCAAATATCAATTAATTTTGGGCATTGAGCTGCATTAGCTGCTGGGAAGTCTGTTTAGGTACTGGAAGTATTCTCTATACCTTCCCGCGCTGCACAAGGGCCAGATAAGGTTCATGCTGGGGTGCTGCTGTTCCAAGTACACTATCTAGATATTTTAAGGGGGGTCTTCTATTTAACATTTTTTTCTCGATGCCTTCACTAAAAAGATAAGGGGTGTTAAAGTTTAAAAATAAAAAACATTTTTTTTATATCTTCAAAACCGTCAACTGGAATGAACTAAAATTTGGTATGTGGATTTACCTAAGTATTGTCTACATTCAAAAGTGTTTACTAAAAGTTATCGTGCACCAGTGGCAAGGATACAGGTGATTAGTTGCATTATCTCTCCAAATAAAAAAAGTACTCCACCGTTTTTTTCGAAGCGCGCAATTTTTTGAATTTTACCTTCAAATAAAACAAAGTAGATAATCAAAGCTTTATTTCAATAAATGTTCAAAAACACCACCTTTCTGACGGAAACAAGTGCGGCATCTTTTTAACGAAGAAACACGTATTTCCGAAAAATTTGTTGTGGCTTGAGTTTGATGAAACGAATTATTATTCTTTCTTGTAATTGTAATTAATTAACTTGTTCAGCTACACTAGTTATTTAAAAGCGCCCCACAAAAAGAATCCCGGGGTTCAAATCAGGAGACCTCGCAGGCCAATGTACGAGTCCGTTTCCGCCAATACATCGTTGTCTAAAATGAGTATTTAACCATGTGGTCATGTCACGACGAACATGCGGTGGGGCACCGTCGTGCTGATACCACATTCGTACTCTACTACTAACGGAACATCAGCTAACACATTTTCTATGTAATTCTCTATAAAGCTAAGCATGAGTTTGCATTTAAACGTTGTGGTAATATGTACATAAACAATGCCGCACCAGACATTTCAAGAAAATCTGTGTTGAAACGAGTGGATTATTACAGAACGGGGATTTTCTAACGACCAAATATGATCATTATGAGAATTAAAGGTTACACTCCTCGTAAAAAGCGATTCATCTGACCACGAAACCAAATCAATAAAATCTGCATTTTGATTATGCATTTGCAGTAACCACTCACAAAAATGTCTCCGTTGCACTTCGCCGTCGGGTTGCAAACATTGCACATTTTGCCGATGGTAAGTATGTAAAACTTGCCGATTTAAAATTCTCGACGCAAGTCTTTGGGAATATGGCAAATCGGTTGCAATCCGCCTAGTACTTATATTAGGATCATCCAGCGCCAAATTAATCGCTTCCAGTCCCTCTTGAACAGTATGTCGGACACCATGGCATCTAACTCCGGGAAGTTTGGCAATTCCATAATGCGAAAGTGTTAGAAATGAACGCGTAAAAATCTTTGGGGTAGGATGTCGTCTGTTAGGAAATCTACGTTGATACTCCCGAGAAGCCGCTAAAACACTTCCATTACAGAACCCGCACAGAAAAATAATATCGGCGTCCTCATCATTGCTAAATTCCATTTCACAACACTTAAAAATTGAAAAAAGACTGTTGACTTGACTTTTACAAAAGGAAAAATGATAGTAGTAACCATAACAACCGTATAACACATAATTTTGACAAACTATCCCCCAAGAAACGTCAAGGCCTCCTGTTTTATTTTGAAACTAATTGATGTATATTGTATCTCGTGATTTCATGAACCGTCTTGTTTTATTTTGATCTTTACGAAAACAGTGCACTCTAGGAAAAAAAACACAAGAGTAATTATTTGTAGTAAATTGAAGGAAAAGTTCCAAAAGTTGCACGTTTCGAAAAAAAAACAGTGGCGTACTATTTTTATTTGGAAAAATAATGTCACTAATCCCCTGTATGTCCACCACTGGTGCACGTTGATTTTAAGTGAAGACTTTTGAATATGGACAATACTTAGGTAAATCCACATACTAAATTTTAGTTCATTCCAGTTGACGGTTTTGAAGATATTGAAAAAATTGTTTTTTATTTTTAAACTTCAACACCCCGTATCTTTTTAGTGAAGTACTTGAGGAAAAAATGTTATATAGAAGACCCCCCTTAAAATACGGTCCTGCGAGTGATGTTTCATTTTTTGTTACGACGTGTGAATCACCCTGTATAATAATAAAGGTGTTATAGTTTCTTTTTATGGTCGATTAAAAATTAACTACACCTGTATAAAGTAAATGATTACGTTTTTCTTATTTAGGATAATAATTTTATAGCCGTTGTTAAAAACATCGAATTTCATTTTTATAACAAAACACTTCTCCCAGTCTGGTAATTTTGTTTTAGAAAATCGTACTCTACTCTCCAACTCGTTGGAGGTAATCTTTTATAATTGCTTTCGACCGTAAATACGAGATATGGAGGTGACTTGGTGCTATTTCTGGTGCTCTGGTGTAGGAATTCTGCTGCCCACTGCCCGATTTTGTGAAATAGTTTGAAACGCAGAGTTCCGGGGTATCGGGTGGTGGGGTAGTTTTGTTAGAAATTGGCCCCTTGGAGGTTCTTAGTGCCGTAGATTTTTCTTACCCTCTTGGGGATTTAACCGTGCATATAATTATACTCAACCATCGAGCGGGTAAGTGACCATTTCCTCAACATGATTTCTAATTCTATAGAGAGGGACCGCCTACAGGGTTAGTCCAAGGAGTGAGATTCACGCCTAGGAGGAGCAGTTCCCCATTTTTGGAGAACCCTCATTGTTATAGGTAATTATGATTTTATTTTTGTTTTTACTTTGCTAGGTCTGTCTTAATCTTGTACAGAGAACACAACCACTTCGTTCAAAAATTAAGCATGAGTCTATCCGTAATTTTATTTGTGCCAGTTTAGGCTTTCTTATGTAACATTAGGATTGTATTTTAACCAGTTAATTATCCATTGTTTAGGTCAATATGGAATTCATCAAAAATTATTAATCCATCAACCTTTAGTAGTCAAAAGAGAGAAATGTTCTAAATTTGTCATTGGTAAGATTTATATATTGTTTTGTATCACAGTACATAAACTGAAAATAATATAGTGTTATTTTTATATGGCGGTAGCTTCTGATATTGGTTGTATATTTGCTGAAATTTGAGTGAGCCAGGCTCACGAGCAAAACTATTCCTGTGGTTCTCAAGTAGCATTTTAATTGCTTTATTTATAAGCTGAGAGAGGACACGAAGTATTTTTCTTCTTCTTACTTTTTTTAGGTATTTGATTTTTTTAATTTAGTACAAGTTAATTTAAAATTTAGGTGTTGCTAGTACAATCACGATTTTGATTGTACACCGTGACAGACAAACAACTTTGTTTTAATTTTAAATTTTTGAATGGATGTAACCCAAGACTAAATGGTTCCATGTCAAAGTTAAATCTTTAATTCTTGGAAACAAATTAAAATGGGGTATTAGTAGTCAATTCGTGATTTCGAGTTTTTGTTAACAAGTATTTTTTCTAACTAGGGTTCTATCCTCCAGTTCTACAATCCCGTTTTACCCTCCGGTTTTAGGTTTACATCTGGGTCGTCCTACCAACGGTAGCCGTTCTTAAAGTAGCTGGCAGGTCATTATATTGTAAAAGTGCCACATAGGAGAAAGATTTATTCAAAAAGGTTGCCCTGTATGACGGCATGTTTAGAGTATGTCCAACTAGAGCAAGTTTAGGTTGTCATACTGACTTCTAAAAGGAAATTTGCTAAATAGGTAAATTGGGATTTATTATAGAGGATTTTATGGAGAGCAGAAAGGAAGTGTACTTCTCATCGCTGGAGTATTGTAACCCATTTTATATCCTTAAGATGCTGTATAGCGTACCCAGCTCTGCTTTGGACTTTTTGTATTCGGAAGTGGTTGAGTTAGACAGGACCAACAACATAATCATCATAGCTTGCTTAGGATTAGACCATGGTGAGCTTTATTTTGGAACCTTTAGGCAGAATATTTTAAAAACTGTAGATAGTTTTCAACTTTTAATGCATACGTGCTTTGAATAGGCCTGGAGACATGATGATAAGGGGTAAGGTGTTCGTCAAATGTTGCTACTTTGAAAATCTTACTGAAAACCAAATACCACTGACGTCGTTATGTGTACGAGAGAGAAACATGTAATACGTTAATTAGACAGAGCTAGAAGAACATCGTTGCCTAGCAAACCGAGTACGAGGTCACGGAAGCCAACGGTGCACTATTTCTAAAGGTGCCCACAAATTAGCAACCATGTGCGTCATACACTTTTTTCATACATGCGTGACATACATGTATGTCAATAGATTTTGAGCCCAGACCTGCATACAAGATTGTTAAGCAAGTTAGTTTGAAAGTGCATAATGAGCAGTGAAGACGAGTACACTCTAATTGGCAGCGGCGTACGCTGCTTTAATTAAAAAGAAAACAAATAGATTAGTTAAAAAGCCACCTATCCGGAAGAAATGGGTAAAGGAATGGCTTTTAAAACGCCCACAATATATCCATATTAGTCTGCTAGAAGAACTACGTTTAGAACCTGACGATTGTCGAAATTACCTGAGGGTGGATGAAGAAAGCTACTCAACGCTACTAACCTTAGTGTCTCCATTAATTGTAAAACAGGACACGATTTTGAGGTCTTCAATTTCGCCACATGAGTGATTAACAGCCACTCTTCGCTATTTAGCCACAGGAAGAAAATACGAGGATTTAAAGTTTTCAACTTTAATTTCTCCTCAGTCGTTAGGTAAAATAATACCGGAGACCTGTCGATCAATATTTGAGGTATTGAAAAACGAGT